TTGTTGTGAACTAGCGAATGAGGGAGTCAGATTCGCAACTCCTCGTTGTCCTTGATAACTTACAATGGCATCAATCAAGTTCGCCTTGCTCTTCCTTGCCAGGTGGACAGCGCGTCCAAGATACCAAGCCTGAGAAATGGTATTTGGTACGGCATATTCCCTGACGACATCGCCATTTAGAGGCTTGGCACAGACTGCGCATCCAAGTCCAAGCTCTACAGCAGTTGTCCGAAGCAGCCTTTCCACACGGATTGGAGACTCGGCGTTCTAGAAGCTATTAGCCTAATCTCCTTCGATTCGAGTGCTTTACCTACCATGATCACGGACACATTGCCCTTGGCATCGGCCAAGGCACATGGCGTGATTGGGTTGCCATATACATAGAGTGTAGCTAATCAATAGCTCGTTAGCGAGGAAAAACACAATGTGGTGATGCGTCCTCACCGTGGTACATTGTCGGATATGCTCTTCCCATCGCATCTCCGTCGATAACTGGAATATCGTATTTTACACCGGTTGGAAACGCACTCATCCCATTACCTCCTCCACTATAATGTTGTCAGTACATTTGATGCAAAGGGAGGTGATATATTCTTGCATTTCATCCGTGAGCACCGCATTGAATGTGCTCATACCAAGCATGTTCTTTAACGTATCAATGCCCGTACTTATCTCGTCACCAGACCCAACACGCTCGTTGATGACACTCGGAGCTCCGTACCAAGAGCCAAAGCAGACGATATCCGAGTCCTTTAGCGACTTGGGCGATATCACACGCATCTTGCCTTTGCCTCCAGAACGTAGGATCCGGAGACCTTGGAGCAACTCATGATACGAGGGTCCGCCACCTCCTGTACCTAGAATTCCTGTTCCGACGGATATTAACTCCAAGTCAACCTCTGAGATATACCATACGCCATCGCGTACTTCAGGTCTATATGTAGCAAGATCCACGTGCATGGCTGGCTTCATTGTCGGCTCTGCAGCATCAGGCACATGCATTTTCGTGCCCTCTGTCTCGGGTTCCTCGATGGATTCTACGTCCGGCTGTGTTGTCTGGGAGACGCCGATACACAAAGTCTCAGGTACGGCCAGACGACCAACAGCCTTGATTATAATTCGCGTGGCTCTGTTGTGTGTGTATTGCAGAGAAATCTTCTCAATGGCAACAATTTTAACATCGTCACCTGAAGCTCCCGCATCAACGGCAGCTTTGATGGCTTTCTCGCTAGCTGCTGCGAGAACTGCCTTCTCATTTTTCCCGTCCATGATCTCAATGATATCAACTTCCCCCGACACTTTGGCAATAGCAGCACCTACTGCATTTGCTGCGCCGAAGTGAATTGGTTTGGTACACTTGGCAACATTGCTAAGGTCTTCAGTGACGAGTAGGGAGCCGCCTCCAACTAATAAAACGTGTACGGGTGCCGACGAGACCTTCATTTTTTCGATTATCGACTCCAGCATCTTCTTAATTTTTTCTTGAGCCACTTTGACTGTGGCTTTTGGGACTGATGATACCCTTTGCGGATCGCCTAACTGTGCTTTTCCGGAGGCAACAACAACGTCACTGGTAGTAAGCACTGATCCCCCGAAGACCATGGCTTGTTGCGTTAGATAGTGGCCTACCGAATCTGGGCCTACTGTGACATTTCCAGTCGTATCCGTCATCACTTTACTTCCTCCCCCAAGACCAATCGACATGACTTCAGGCATAGAAAATGCTGTTCGAACACCGCCGACTTCGACAAAGTTTGGAGCTTGCCGTGGGAAGCCTGACGAAAGGAGAGCACATACATCTGTTGTAGTGCCACCAATGTCAACCACAAGGACTTGGTGCCTTTCAGAATTATTTGAACCATCAGCAGCATCATCTAGGCTGAGGCTTTTGGGCTTGTCTAGTCCGGCTAGGAATGCCGCGCCGGTCATGCTGTTGGTCGGTCCACTAGCGAATGTCTTGATGGGAAATTCTGCTGCAGAGTCTGCATCTATGAGTGTGCCATCGTTTTGTGATAAGTAAAGCGGACAGCTCAATTGTAGGCGCCGCATAGCCGCTTTGAAACCATTGATAGTTTTTCTTGCCGTTGCTAAGATAGCTGCGTTGAGAATCGTTGCGTTCTCTCTTTCCAGTAGCCCCGGAGGACCGACTCCTGAACTGCAAACAATATCCAGGCTAGGGTCCAGAGCTAACATCTGACGCTTGCACTCTTCTTCATGGATTCCTTGATGATCCAGAGGCGAAAAGACCCCAACAAGTGCAACTGCCTTCACACCAGCGGCACGAATCGAGCCGACACATTCTGCAATCTGCGCTTGATCGAGTGGCATAATCTCCCGCCCGTCAATCTCTAATCCTCCATCCAGATAATAGGTTCCGCCGTCCATAATCCGGCGCAATCCCACTGGAAAGTCAGAGAATGGCGGGATCTGTCGCGTGAACGGCCCACACAGACGCACGACGGCGACTTGACTGAGACGACGAGAATCGGCTTCCACAAGTGCATTCACAAAGTGTGTTGTGCCTATAGTGACACTCAAGACACCAGACTTGACATCGGGGATGAACACACTACATCGCTTGAGAACTATGTCGATAGCTTGAGTAATACCACTTGTGATGTCAGGCGTTGTGGACGATTTGCAAGAGGCGAGGACGGCACGCTCTGGGGTATCGAGGGTGATGTCCAATATGGCGGCATCTGTGTTGGTGCCACCAACATCAACTCCTATGCGATACATGATCGAGCTCTGATCAATCTGTGGCGAGCGATGTCTCGTGGCTCGCAGTTGCAGGGTGTAATGGCCGGGAGCTTGCTTTCTGTTGATGTGATCGGATGCTCTTGAGGTTCGTGGACTGATTCAACAAAATCCCTCTGCGCATTACGCGTTGCCGGCCGGTTCACATCGCGATAGCCTTGGTCGAAGGGCTAGAACACCAAATGCAATTCCCCGCTTGAGACGCTAAGTGAGGCTTTACATAGTGAACATTGGTGGTTACGAATTCATTTCAGGTCATCGCTTAGGAAGCGTCCGCTTCGCTGACGTGCTCGTCTATTATGTTATCTTCGCAGGGGCTTAACGAGAAACCTCACGATAAGAGTCACGCTGCTACTAAATTCGCGACAAATGCCCCCCCGGAACCGCGACACCGATGTGGCTAGCCGCGCCTCCTAGTCAGTGATAAGCAATTGGGTCCTTGCCGAGTTTGGGCTGCGACATCCACCCTACCGGCAAATCTCTGGCAGAAAGCCAGGCACTGCCGGAGTCCTCCGTAATTCTGGGCCTGCCAGTAGTTCTTATCGCGATCAACAGGCGCCTAGGAGGCCTAGCCTCGGGCAATCTTCTAGCACATATATCCATCCATAGTCGCGACCGACTTACACCATCGGACCATCTTTTTCCTCCCATGAATGGTCATCTGAGCATTCTGCTGTAGGAAAGTCAAGATGACATCTTGGGTCAAGAAGCTCGAGGTGCCGCACGTTAGTCGCCTTGACCGATGGATTGTAAGCTGTCACCTCCCGACGCCAATTCGATTGTCCAGCTCACTGATGTGGATATAGAACTATGACATTCGGCCGATCGAGCCAGGGAGGCGGACATGGGGCTATGTGTCTTTCAACAACTACTGTGAGAAGTTTGATGTATTCCGTATATTTTCGCAGCTGACCTCTACCGTATAGGGCTATTGATCAACACCAATATCTCAACGTACCTCACCGGAAGTGCGCTCATCCCGCTCGGGCTGACATGGTGGCAAGCTCTCATCTGTATGTCTGCCTCCTGATATGTCGAGACCAGGCTGACTGTTGAGCCAGGCATTATCCTTGGAAACCTGCTCGCAATGCTCTTTGTCATCCTCAACTCTTTGCCTGGTGCATATTATAATAGTCAGTGCCACAGGAGCTCGTCCATTCTCTAAGTGTGTCAACTCACTTTTTGTTGTAGTCGGTTTCCCTGTTGTTAATCGAATGATATGGGGAATGTGGGGATCACAGTTTGTCATTTGGAATCGTATTTTTCTTTCACTGGGTAAGTACACATTCCTGCAGATAATGGACACGATCTAACATCTCACAGTTTGGTAAGTCGTATTTATAGAGGCAGCGACTTTGACCATTCTCCTAATCTTGACGAATAGGTACGGCTTCACCGCCTGGATTGGCGGAGAGTGTGTATATGTGATGCTGCAATCTTGGGATCCAAAGCTCGAAGATCACATCCCCAATCACATGCCGGCAGACACAGGCATGACCACGGCGCAATTCGTTGCTTACATTGTCTTCTCCGTCATCAGCCTGCCTGTCATCTGGATTCGACCTCACAAACTTCAGAAGTTTTTCTACTTTGCGAGTTCTGTGACCATCATCTTCTTCCTTGTCCTCCTAATCTGGGCACTTGCTACGATGGGTTCTGCAGGATTCGGTGATACTATTAGAAATTCAACAGATATCAGTCAAACTGGCGGTCCAGACAGTGTCGCATGGCTCATGGTCTACGGGATTGTTTCAACTATCGGATCAATCGCTGCCGGTATCCTGAATCAGAATGACTATGCCCGATTTGCTACAGCGCCGAGGCATGCAGTCGTCGGTCAAGCTGTGCCTTTTCCTATATACGGAATTCTATGTTCCATGATCGGAATTCTCGTTACAGCAGCGACCCAGAAACGCTTGGGCGGCGAAGCAGTGTGGAACCCCGCTCTTGTGTTCTCGCAGCTCATTGCACAAGACCCAAGTCCGGGAACTCGCGCCGGTGCTTTCTTTGCTGGACTGGCGTTGGTGATCTCTCAAATTGGTGTCAACGTTCCAGGAAATGCGCTCAGTGGAGGATTTGACCTTGCTGCTACATTCCCGCGATACATTAACATCAGACGTGGCGCATACATCACTGCGGTCCTAAGTGTGGTCGTAAACCCGTGGAAGTTAGTCAATACGGCGACGACATTCTTGACCGTGTTGTCATCTTACTCAATTTTCCTGGGGCCAATGACCGGTTTGATGGTTGCGAGCTACCTCGTAGTCAACTCAAGGAAGGTCAACATTGATGACCTCTATCACGGCGATCGATCCAGTATCTACTGGTTTACGGCCGGTATCAATTGGCGAGCGGCTGTTGCGGTATGTATGGCCTAACCCTTCATGATGACTACGCTAACAGTTTATGTGTAGTGGATTGTTGGCTTCGCACCATTGATGTCTGGCTTTATAGCAGCGGTCAACACTTCAGCTGTTGTATCCTCCGGCGCAACAGAGCTTTATTATCTCAGCTATCTTTACGGTTTCTGCGCGAGTGGTCTTGTTTTCGTTGCTCTTCACAAAATATTCCCGGCACGTTCTTTGGACAATTTCGTCAAGAACGGCGTGTCTGCCGAAGAAACGAGACATTATTACAGGACAAAGTGGGACAATATAGGCTACGAGAACCAGGGGCCCATGGGTGATAACAAGATAGACGAAACCATCACGGTGAATGATGCCAGTGCCGTCGATCGAGTCTAGCCTGAGCTTTTCTCGACACGCTAAGACTTTGTTAGCGCTTGATTCAAAGGCTCGGGTTTGTCTTGAAGGCGTTGCTGGATGGAGACCGGCTTGGGCTTCCAAAGCCTGATGATGCGCACTTGATCATACCTGCAAAAGGCTCGTAGTAATGCTGCAATCTCTGTGTCAGACTGGATATCCACGCCGTCTAGCATTGGATTGACAATATTCCCACTTGCGGCAGAGGCGGATGCTTATTATATTTATCAGTTATAATAATAAACTTCAGTGACTCTTAATAATCAGGAAACTGAAAATGCAGCGAGATTGCAATTTGAATAGTGTTCTTAACTGGCGCTGCGCCTAATGTTTTCGATGAGTTGATACTGATCAGGGTGATATAGTGTAAGGCACAGACAAGGTCGAGAAGCACAAGGGCGAAGTCCCTAAAAACGTCATGGTCACCGTCTGTGGGTAAACACCGTCTGTGGGTAAACCCAATCGGAAATTCAGATCTTCTGGGAAACGCCGCTTGTCTTGGCCACCTTGGCACAACGGTTAACCCCAGACTTGGCAAGCTTGGCTGCACTAGACCATTCTTGACAATGGTCTCAGTACTTGAGGTCGGAAATGTCCCGGAACTTGGGTTTTCAGGCCAATGCTGTGAATCGCTTCGCTCTTCTGCTAGTGAGCGGGGCGGAGGATGCGCGTACGCAGTCTGGAAAGCGACAGCGTCGGGAAGATCCCGTGGGTAACAACCGACGAGAGGAGTCCTGTCATTCGCTTTGAAATACAGCATCCCTCGCTTCTTAACACTTGCGGCAGGAGTTCTTGTCTATGCTCAATTTCTGGGGAATCACACTCTCAAGCGGCAAAGATGGCAGACCAGCACGTCCGGACGGAAGTAGACGAGAAGGTCGAGCTCAATGAGACCGAACTTGTGCACATGAATAACGAGATAATCGATCATGATCGCAGCACTTTTCTCCCATTGCCCTCAAACGACCCAAAAGATCCTCTGAATTGGCCCATGACTTTGAAGGTAAACTCTTGTCTCCTTGTCTCCATCTGGCAGAGCTAAGGTTAACTGAAACCTTGCAGGTTGGTGTCCTTATCCAAGTTTGTTTGCTTGCGGCGCTAGGGACGTTGAATACGTCTATCATCAACCCGGCATACACACCCCTAGCCAAGGAATTCGACATCACCACGGTTAGAGCATCATACCAAACGACAGTTGTGATAGCCCTCAATGGTGTCGGACCATTCCTTTGGATCCCGCTGGCGAATGTTTACGGTCGTCGACCAATATACATCTTCACGACGCTGCTTGGATTTGCCTCGGCATTGGGATCCGCATACGCCAGAAACTATGGCCAACTTTTGGGCGCACGGGTCTTCAACGGCTTTTTCCCAGCCGCTATGGCACTAGGTCCATCGACGATCGTTGATCTGTTCTTCTTCCACCAACGCGGCCGTGCCATGGGTGGTTTTACTGTCGTCATGACCACGGGTGCGCATATTGCCCCTATCATCGGTGGTCTAATTGGACAATATCTTGGATGGCGCTGGACATTTAAGTTTGCCGCAATACTTGATGGTGTAATGTTTCTTATCATCTTGATTGCTCTGCCAGAGACGCTCTACATCCGCGATTCTACCAACCTCACCCGCACCGTCGAGGAACGCGAGGTCCAGCTTGGTGCCAAAACCTATTTGACCCGCCTCAAGCCTTACACACGATTCCCGGACCTGAAGCTCCACTTGAACGATTTCGTCTGGCCAGCGTTGAGAATGGCCAAATACCCTTCAGTCTTATTCCCAGCCATCTACTATTCCGCACAGTATGGCTTCGGCTCTATTCTTCCTGCCGTCACGGTCGCAACAATCTTCCGCGAGAGATTTAACTGGGACACTCTCGAGATCGGCCTGGCATATGGAGGTGCTCTTACCATCGGCGGTGTGCTAGGAGAACTTGTATCGGGCGTGGTTCTTGACACCATTGTACGGCGGGCGCGACACCGTCTTGGCGGCCAGAATCCTGAACCAGAAGCTCGTCTTCAAGGCATCTGGAGTGGTGCCGTACTCCTCCCAGCGGGACTTTTGATCTACGGCTTCACTCTGCAATATCGTGTTCACTGGTTTGTGCCATTGTTTGGCATGGGCTTGGCAGTGTTTGGATTGCAGCCCGTTGCGACAACCTGCTACACTTACAGTGTTGATAGTTATAGAGAGCAGGGTGGAGAGGTGGCAGCACTGTTCAATTTCATCCGTCAGGTTTTTGGTATGACGTATGCTTTCTACGTAGTTTTGTTGTGTGAGAAGATTGGTTATCAGTTTGCATTTTTGTTATTTATGATATGGGGAAGCATTCTTGCCTTCATTCCCATAGTAGTGTTGATGCGGAAGGGGAAGGCAACTCGTGAGCACCTTGCCTGTAGGGAGTCTTCTGGATACTAGTCCCAGGAGTAGACCTCATACCTCCGGAATCACTAATATAGCAAAACGGGTTAATGAGAAAATTGGGCGACCATCTACCATTTAATCACTGCTTATAGCTCGCTATCTAATTTCGACGTCTACATATTATTGTCTCGCAAACTTCTTATCCAGAGAATCCACTGACTCATATTTGGAGTTAAGGGCACCCCAATCTGCTTGACTTGATTGCAGGAAAGCTGGTAGACCGAATGCCAAGTTTAGCGTAAGCCTGCCAGAAAGTAGGAGGCCGTATATCAAGCTTTTTAGACGGATCCCTTTACGGACGAAGCTTATCTTTCCCTACTTTTTAGCTCGTCGACAATACTTGGGTCAATTGTTTTAATAAAGTCCCTGATGTCTGTAGCGAGCACAGATGGTCTTTCTACAGAAGGGAAATGGCCTCCAAGTTGATGTTCCTTCCAGAACACAATGTTTTCGGCAACTCTACACTCAGCCCACCAACGAGGGCAGTAACAGGCATCTTATCTCATGTTAGAATGATGCGTCCTCAGGGTGAATCCCGCAAGTCTTGATCGACTGACCTTTGGGGAAGATTGAGGCACCAAATGCCACATCTTTGCCGATAATCTTATAAAATAGCGCTGTCATCAGGGATTGATCACCTCCATTATTTGGAGACCATTTGTATACTTCCCCATGGCCAGGGCTGCCATTGAGTATGTACGGCTGTACCATTTAACAGTCAGCTCTTGATCTCTTGCAAAGACGCTCTCTTTCAATTACTGACCATTGCCCAAGTGATGACCTCTTCATTTTCCCATTCAAAATCATCATCAACAAGGAATTGAATCTTCTCCCTCAACCAACACATCATTCCAAAAGGTGAGTCGGTAAGACCATAAGAAAGTGTTTGTGGTTTAGTGCCTTGGATTGCGTTATATCCACTCTCGTTGTCCATCCACCACTTCATGCGCTTTAGCATTTTCTGACCATACTCGTTGATGCCATACCCGGTGGTATATGCTAGAATTAGCCTCGCAAAGGCTAATGGATGGCGCAGCGGACTCGGTGGAGCAGCAACTACCATGTTGAGATGGATTGCTCGACAGTTTTCTGGATGATTGATTGGAATTATCCGGCCGATCATGGAACCCCAATCACCTCCTTGGACAATATACTTCGTATAGTCCAGTGCCATCATGAGTTTGTGAACAATTTCGGCAATGTCCATAGGGCTGCATGGTTTTGATGGGTAGGATGACAAGCCATAACCTGGCAGAGAGGGGGCAATAACGTGAAAAGCCGGGTCATCAATTGATGGCGGATTTGTGAGGTGCTTAACGAGGGGGCGGACCTCTAGAAAGCTGCCAGGCCAGCCGTGAAGAAACAGTAACGGTAAAGCATCCTTTCTATAGGATCGGTTGTGAACAAAGTGGATGGATAGTTCTTCGCCGTTGTGATTGATGGGGATGGCGAATTGTGTGAGGTCGTCATTGATTTCCTTTTCTATGCGCCTCCAATCATATTCATTAGCCCAATACTTTTGGAGTTCTCGAGCATAATCCGCGGGCAGTCCCCATGACTTCCAGATCTCTTCTGTGGGTAAGCTTTTGCCTGGCGGTATTCTGGTTGTCGTTATTCGTTCGCGAATCCACTTCAAATGGTCGTCAGGCACCGCAATCGTGTAGGGCTTAGCTTGGGCCATATCCCCATCAGCGCGAACGTTAAAGGCGTGAACACATCGCAGACTGGGTCAAGCGAGAACGTGGTGCTTTAGAATTGCGACATTGGCCTTTATATTCTAGTTGAGGCGACGTCATTCCCTGGGAATGGAAGCGTGTTCTGGGCAACGCCCGCCGTTGTGGCGCCGCAAGAGAAACAGAGTCCTAACCTAGTAGGGGACCGCCATGCGCTACACCTATCAAAATCCGGCCAAGGTGGAGCGACAAGAAATGAACATCGATTGTCAGCCTTAAGCTTGATTTGGTTAAGGTGCGCTTTAGTTATCTCCTTCGGTACCTGGGCAGCCGTGGGCTGCGTGGCGCATGCGGCGAGCCAAAGCTCTCCTTGCCATCTGTCTCACCGCACTTTCCCAGATGCCAATTGAGACCCATTTTTATTAGCTTCGAGAGGAGCCGATGCCTTTGCAAGCTCAGCTTTGTCAGACCGTGTAGCAGTGATAGAGAAAGGCAAGTACGTTGGAGCAGGCCCGGAAAGAACAGCAGAAACACTAATACAAAGGATCAGTAAATCGCGCATCGGGCACCAGTTTCGGTTTAGATCTGTTAGTGAGTGTCTGTGATCTTCTAAAACGCGACTACAGCGTAATGACTCGTACCCAGTTTACTACTCCCAATCGGGCTCGATCAGCCGCTTGCCCAATCAAAGTCGACTTACTCTCTACTAGTGGATTCATCGGTGACTTCTCCAAATCTGTTGAGTTATCAGGGCGAATTAGTTCGGCACACTTCGTAGATAACATATAATTACCTTCATACCAAGAATGAAGACGCAATCAACATGGTGGGAGCTCCAACTAGTCGCGGTTGCGATGAGTGCCGTCAGATAAAGAAGAAGGTGATGATTTGACTTGCAAAAACAGCATTCGCACGTTCTCTAACTTCACAGTAGTGCGACCTGTCTAAACCGTCTTGCTCAAGATGCTCACGACTGGGCATTGTGTGCATTGGAAATGGCCAACAGCGGTATTTATTTAAGCAGCAAAAGGCTAGAGTCTCTACTTCACAAAGCAAGTCTCGGAAACCTGGACAGAATTTGCAAGCTCCTACCATGAATCCGGGTTATGAACTATGCAGATTTCCTCGCAGTGAGATTCTAGCAATCGCTGATGCATTGATTTCTATTCTTCAAGTCAAAGATCAAAGATATAACCTGAGTTTCTATGGCAATTTCTTTCATGATATCCCTAAGCGGCTAGGGTATAATTTAGCTTTAGACACATCTGTCAAAGCCATCATTACAGCCCTTCCATTCCATCACACTCGTGTCCTACCAGCTGGAGCACTGGCCCATTATGTGGATTCGTTGAAAGCAACCCGAATTACGCTGAATGATTCCGTGAAGGGAAGAACGTCTGATACATTATGCGCCATGTATTTAGTCTTGGTATGCAGTGTAAGGGAAACCTCCGGCCTCCTGTTACGGGATGAATACTGACACCAATTATTTCCCTGTAGATTTGGTTGGGAAACACTAGCGATCACATTGTAGGCCATGGCAAAGCCATGGCTCACCTTTTAAAGCTCACATCCTCTCAATGTTGGAAAAGCGGGTTTGAAGGAGAACTTCTTCTTGCCTTACGCGTACCTTTAGTATGGTCCCTTCAGGAAATCGAAAGTCAGAAACCAGGCTAAACCATCACTAGGTCATTGAAAAAGTGTTCAATCCCAATATCTCACTTGGCCCCTGGTTCTGGGAGCCCGCAGACTATCTCATCGAAAATCTGCCGGCGCCCTGCCACAGTAGTTTTGGTTTGGAAACCTTGAAGCCTAGCAAGCTGGCCTGGTACCCTTATTTCTTGTGGCATCCCGAGGAACATCTCCCCAAAATTCGCGGTGCGTACAGGCATTTGCAAGTTGACCAATCGACCTTGAGACAGCAACTGTGTGGCGCTAGGGAAATGGTGCTTAATCCCGTTCAATCTCTAGAATCGTTAGAGTTTGCAATACGGCTATTTTCTCTTTGCCAAATATGCTACGGCATGCTTCTCACGGTTGCCTTGAGTCTCAACTCATGGCTTCGTGCAGCAGATCCTGACGATACTAACCTGTTGCATCAGTTAGCTCTATTTCAACAAGAGGTTGTAAACCTGGCAAAACAAGCCTCTAATTACCGGCCAATAGGTGCTAGTCATATCACAATGTCCCTCATCTCGGCGTGGGCGACAACAGATGAGCTCTCTCGACATGAGGAGATCACAATGCTATTGACAGAATATCAACAAGACTTCTCTGGAGCAGAGTGGAAGGACGTTGCTCGTTGGCTCATGAACCGTTTTGCAGTTGGGCGAGCAAATATTGAGGCAGTCAAACGAGCGCATGATAGACGCTTCATAATTGATGATCCCAAAGGTCTGGGCGGCCGTCGATCTTTGCAAAATGGAATGTGTTGCATTTTGTAAATTAGTTGAATCCAATTCTGACAGGGCTGAGATGAAAACCCTTTCTGGCCTTGACAACAAGCACATAAGTCATTAAACAGAGCCTGGTCCTCAGACTTTCTATAGCCGTCTAACTGTGATCCTCAGGCCCTTACTATTCATCTTATTTTGAATCTCGACGGATCTACCCTTCGGAGCCGACAATGTGAATTCGGGAGTATCTAGATCCGCTTCGACTTTCCACTCAGTCCCGGTCATCTCCCCGACCCGCTTCCACAAGTCCACCCAGCTCTGTACGTTATGTCGAAAATGCTTTCGACCGCTGGTCTCACCTGATCCGGAGAACCCTCCTGCGTTTTCGCTACCCGACTGACGCCCAATCAGGAGTGAACCAGGCTGTGGGATGAGTAGCTGGACTATTCTGGAGGCCACTTTTTCTTGCGTCTCAAGACGGAAAAGATGGAGTATCGCACCGGCGTAAACAATGTTCATTTGTGCATTCAGACGAGTGAGTTCCGATTGCTCGTCGAAAATATCAGCTGCCACGAATGTACTTTGTAGCCGGCCTTTGTCCTTGAAAAGTTCGTAACCGATAGAAAAAAAGGCGCCATAGAGATCCGAGTCATATGTATTAGCAGAAGGTGCGCCGTCAAACACTAATTTCCGAATCTCTTGACTTAGACAGCAACCTAAATCCAAAAAACTTCTCGCCGTGTCTGACTCGCTCTAGCACTTCTTGATATATGTTCATTGTAGCCATGCTCAGGTCGAGGAATTGAAACATTCCAGTGCATGGATAAGGACGCTATTGACTGTCAGCTTTTTTCCTTTTGACATCCAATGCCTTGTTTGATTATCTTACCACGTTGAAGGCTTTTCTTCTCTATTCCGATATTAGCAAGATTGACGGGGAATAGTCACACAGACTTACAATTGCTTCAAAATGATCATCGATCTCATCCTCGGGATTCCGCTGTATTTATTCAACAGCTCTCTACTAGAACTTCC